CAAACAAACACTTTATTAAATGGAAAAATACTCCAACATAAAGAACCCTTCAGACATTAACAAGAATCTATCTGGTGGTTTTCTTTTCAAAGATGTGTGCCATGCTTCTGTCACACCATCACAAGTCACAACTGCTGCAGACCTGATCCCATCCTCCTCCGTGTTGTTTAACTCAACATGCATGCTTTTTTTTTTAATTATTATTAAAAAAAACAAAGCATACTATCAGAACATATGTTCTCATCTCTCAAAGTTCTGTCTTTTTTTCCTTAAAGTTCCCATTTTTAGGAAGCTAAAACGAAATGTGCAATTGTTGCTGTGACGTTAGGAGCTCAAGCATAAGAATGATGGATGAAAAAGCCGAAACGTAGGAACGTGATATCTGCTTTAACTCACGGCACTTGCCACAAATGAATGGCTGAATACTATTACTCTAACAGGCTGGGGAAAATTAATTAAAACAATTAAGAGTGCTCCCACTGGAACTATTTAAAAGTTAGCAAAACATGAATAAAGGTGGTCAACACTACAGAAAAATTCAAAACAAAAAGCACTTTGGTCTTAAATTAATTGAACGCAGTAAATTGTAGTTTATATCAGGTTTAATTCACATAAATTCGTTGTGGCCTTGTATTTGAGGCCTTTGCGTGTTATATTCCTGGGCTCGACGTGATTCGTACTAGTTTCTCCTTTGAACGCGACCCTGAAGGCTTTTTGATTAGTCACCCTGTAACCTCTTACCAAAGAGGCGTTCACTGCCTCGTGCACAGTGGTTTATTTCTTGCTCTTCTCTGCAGCTGTGTTCATCTTAACCTCATGGCCGTCCACAGCCGTTTGGCCACAGAGACCTCCTCTGTGTCCCCGGGACAGAGACTCCATTCCTGTCCTTGACCCACACAGCCTCACCATTCATTTTTAATCTGGGGTGGAGGTGGGTGGAGGATTGAGCACATTTAATTTACTGCTGCTGGCCACATCCTTCCATACAAGAAGACCTTTTGGGTCTGGTAACCTTAGCCTTGGTCTTTCCTCAACCATTCAGCAAATAAACAACAAACAGTTTGTATTTTAACAAAAAAACAAGTTCTGGTTTGTTTCTTGTTAACCTTATGTTTCCATTTTGGCTGCTCCCTTCTTCAGGAGTCACCACAGGACAAACTTGCGCAAAAGATTTGGCAACTTGTACGCCGGATGAAACAACCTGGACTCAAACCGACCGCCTCAGGATTATGAGACTGTGGCACTGAACACCAAGCTGCAACCCCTGTTTGTTGTTACATTAATAATCCTGGGAATTCAAGTTTTGAAAAGTTCAAATGATTCAGGTGATGCAAGTCCAGACATGTTTGTGAGCTCAGTGTGTGCAGACTTATTGTTCCCCTCCATCACTGACAGGAATCAGAGCCAAGATAAATGTGAAAAAGCAGCACCACAGAAGAGCACTGGTTTCCTTTTCACCAGCTCTCAAATGTTTTCTGGACGCATCTGCACAAAACATCACGACACAATAAAATAAAATCTACTTCTTTTTTTTTTTTTTTTTTTCCAAAGTGCCCAGAAGTTTTCATTAAGCCTCTTTTTTTCAGCTTTGGAGTCTAATAGCTTTTGTTGCAAAACTCTGAAGCATTTTGCCCCTGATTGGCAATTATGCATGCTTGGCTGGCTCCATGCATCCAGCAGAAAAAGTGGGGGTGACTGGCTTCACTAGCTTCTTAAAGAACTGATCTTTTTTTTATAGAAATATTCGCTTGATGGATTAAATGTCTAAAATACTTAAGGCTTAAGTTCAAAAGGAAGATTTAACAAAACTTTGCAAGACAGTTCTAATGATGCTGGTGTTTCTGAGCAGGATGGTAATTCCCTGAAGACCCAATTTCACTCCAGTTCTCTCAGTTAATTAGATTAGACAGGCATAATTTCTAATCGCCATTTTTTTTTTCTCCTCCAGGAGCGCAAAGTGTTTGTATAGGTCCTGTCAGGTCTGCACGCTTGCTGTCTGTTTCCTAATGAGACCCTCAGCTCATTTACTCCGTAAAACTTAAGCAGAATCTTTGCATTAACAAAAAATGCTGCAGGACATTTCTTTCAGGCTCTTGTGCAAATGACAGAGTCGAGTTTGAAAAGTCTGGCATAACTGGGCCACAAAGTTCAGTTTTTAAAGGCAGCGGAGCGCCCAGAGTCAGTTGGCACGGTGAAGGCTGGATAATACGTTTTAGCTTACGACTGTTCCTGTTTGTTCCCCCAAGTGCATATGAATTATTAACATCCCCTAAGAGCAAAAGTGTCAGTAAACAAAGCTGCTTTTAAATAATCGTAGGATATGCATATAGGGATATGCAGGCATATTTAGGGATAATGTATGTATTTTTTAAAGTTATATTGGTGTTAAACTCAATGTTTTTGCTTTGCATGTGCAAAACGTTGTGGCTCCTTCAGCATGAGAATGTCTATTTAAGAAATATTTCCAAAACAAATGTAATACATTCCAGGCACCTAAGCTAACCTATTACTGGTCATTTAAGTTAGAGAATTGTATGCACTCCGATATTTGTTCCTATTTTTTGGTATTAATATAAAATGATGCAAAAAAGATTTGATACAGTAAGGAACCTAAAATTATTGTTTTAAATAAATGTGCTATTTGTTTACATTGTTGTTTAATCTTTTCAGCTTGTCAGTTGCATAAGTGAAACAACATTTATGACCATTTCAATAGATAAATCATTTCTGAATCAAAAAAATTGATTTTGAATCTAATCGTGACACCAAAAATCAGAATCGAATCGATTCGCCAGACACTGAGAGATTTGCACCCCTATGTGGAAATTTTGCAGATCTCATCGTCAGTAATCCACATAAACTTTACTTAAGCTTTGTGTTTGCCTGTAATAAAACACAATGCAACAAAAAAAAAAAAAATGGTTTCATCTTGTCTTTAAGTCTTGCTGAACTGTGATGTGGAGGAAAGTGAGCCGTGATGCTTCTTTGCAGCCTCTCCCAGGACACAGACAGTTACACCTAATGCAGTGAGCCATACGTGGAAGGCATAAAGACAAGAGACAACCTGATTGTGCTGATTACATGTGTCGACTGGCTAATTCAGTGAACCAGCAGGAAACTCAAAGGTTTTTATTCCCAGTATGTGCATCAGTGGGTTCATTATCTGATCTTAGAGGTTGTTCATGCTCCCACTCAGTGATAGGACAAGTGTTTAAACCTGATTTTACATTGTGTGGGTGTCGAGATGAGGTTTATAAGCAAGAACCTTTGAATGTATACTACACCTGTTAAAAAGTTTTCACTAACATTTCATTAAGAATCGAAAAATATGATAAAATAAACAGCTGTATACATTTCCTTATATTAAACATAATGTGTGTTAGGAGGTTACATTTGTCTGTTTTCCCAGTGAATCGTACAGCAGTCCGCTCTCACACGGTGCTTAAACTTCTCTTTGATTCTCACGTTTCACTGTCAGTTGTTTGAAGCATCAACTTTTCCCACCCGAGGTCGATTCAGTTCCTGCTCCTCCCAGATTTAATACCACAAACCTGGTGTTGCTGTACTCCCCCCTCCTGTGTTCTTCTGCTGTCAGCCATAGCTGAAGCCCATCAACAGTTTTCCCTTGGACATCTAAACATATGGCGATGTATCGCTGCCCATCAACCCTCCTGCTCATCCGGCTGACTCTCACCACCCCTCTCACTCGCCGTCTCTCTTCTCCCCCCCTCTTTCATTGTCTGTCTGTTTCCGCCTGAGTGACTCTACTCCAAATGAGGATTATTGTCCAAACGGGCATTGCTGATTGGCTGTGAAATCCAGCGGCGTCCCTCCATTGGAGGGTGATACATATAGGGGCAGTCAGACTGATTTGTTTGAATAGTGAGAAATAGTGGCACATTGGCTGAGGTGTAGACTAACAACTGCTGAAGCTCAGACAGGGATATATTTACCTGCACGTCTCAGAGGTAAGGGGAGGTATTTGACTTGAAAACAGTTTAAATTGAGTTTTTTTTTAATACTCCACAGTTACTTGTGAGTTTTCTACTTTCTACCTTTAAACGTCACTCTCACTAGTTTATTTATATTGATGTTAATTCTTGTGTTTGCTTTGCAAGCTTCTCACCAACATTTCCTACACACTTTGGCACTCGGATTCAATTCTTTGCATGCTTCCCTTCGTCTTCACACAGATTATTTTTTTATAACTTTAAAAAATAAAAGGCCTCAGGCTGGCTAAGTAATCAGTGGATGGCTACTTTTGCCAGTGTTTGCATGTTCTTAAGAATAAGATCATTCTGTTAGTTTAAAACTAATACAGAGTCTGTGTAAACATGTGAAGTGACTCAAAATGCATGCCTGCAAGTTAAGACAGGGGTCAGAACGCTGCCTTTGGGTTTTTTTGTCTGTCTTCAGGAGGTGACGGTTAGTCCAAGTCACATGACGCAGCCCTCTAAAGAAAAGAGAGTAGGAGGAAAAAAAAAACGAGTGGAGGATAAAAGCAGGGTGCATTGTTACTGCAGCGTAGCTGTGAACACAAAGGATTCGAACTGGAAGCAAATGTGAGACGAAAAAAATGGAAGGAGCTAATTATGTTAGGAAAGGAAGAGTGAAAGAGTGAAGCCAACATAAAAGGCTCGTGTGTTTTACAGCTGTCACTGTTTGGATCCCCTTGTACACCGTCCATATGGGACACCAACCTGTCATCTAAAACTAGGTCACATGACCACACGGTTAAACAAGGTGCAGTCTGGAACTTGAGGAAAAGGAGCCATATGTACAGTCAGGTTTTAATAGTTATTTTTATTGTAAAATGCAAATGTCGATGCAATTCTATATAAAATTGTCTCCATTTAGCGATAAATATAAAAGCAGGGTGGTAAGTAAATCAAACTGCAGAGTGTGAAAAAGCCGATCAATAGAACTTGAATGTATTTGTTGCTGCATTCATTCTTGTTTGTCTCATTGATAACTCTTTGTTGCTCTTTGTCTCCTTGCAGCTGTCAATGAGAGAAGCTGGAGATGGCCTCCACGCTCAGATGAACTCAATGATGGGAGCTCTCCAGGAACTCAAGCTCCTTCAGGTTCAGACAGCTCTCGAAAGCCTCGACATATCAGGACGGCCCATAAATCGGGGAATCCCGCAGTCTGCTTCAGTCGCTCGCATGAACTCGTCAGCTTCAGCAGCTTCAGTTTCCACACAACGACGCAAGTTCTGCATTACACAAACTGCCCCAGAGGAGTCCAGACCGAGCTCAATGCAGAGTTCAAGGTTGTCCATCGAGAGCAGAAACTCTTTGAGCAGAGATGATTGTACTTCATCCCAAAACATGAGCAGCCTAGGAACCTTATCATCGTCAACATCCAGTTTAGAGAGCGAGAGTGAAAGAAGTGAAAGAAGCACAAGAGCTGAGAATGAGCTTGAGTCAAAACCCAAGAGGTGGTCGGGATACAACGCACCTCAGGTAGACTTCTATGGACCAATGGTGGGAAACCCTCCACCTGAACCACAACTTCATTCACAGGCTCCTCCTTGTGCTCAGGTGGTGGACCTGCCTGGGATCCTGTACAGCCTCTCCAGAGAGGGCCCTTCCTTGGACAGTGACTACTCTCAGGAGAGCGCGGACGATGCCAGCGACTGGACGTCTTCCCTCATGAGCCGCAGCCGCAACCGTCAGCCTTTGGTGCTGGGGGATAATGTGTTCGCAGACCTTGTAGGCAATTGGCTAGACCTGCCTGAGGTGGAGCGAGAGGAAGGAGAAGAAAGGGAAAGGAGGATGAGGAGAGAGGAGAGAATAGTGGAAGGTGGGGTGGACAGACCGGACACACCAGCGCACCCACTGCGCCTCAGCCGCTCGCAGGAGATCTGCAGGAAGTTCTCGCTCACCACAAACATCTTCAAGAAGTTTCTGCGCAGCGTCCGACCCGACAGGGACAAGCTTCTCAAGGAGAGGCCTGGTTGGATGGCCCCTGAGCTGCCGGAAGGCGATCTCTTTAAAAGACCCAAGAAAGCAGCACCCAAGAGCTCAAAAGGCAGTTTTTACCTGCCTTTCTGGGCGAACGGACAGCACGGAAAAGGCAGGCCATGTCTGCATCTAGCTGAGGCAGACAGGGGACAACACCACCACCATCATCAGCCCTGCCCCCAGTTCCACCAGATCCACCAGCAACCATTTACAGGACTTTATTTAGACAGGAGGCAACCAGAGACGGGCCTGGAGAAAATGCGGCCCTTGTTTGACCACAACACAGCTGTGTGGGTTTAACAGCGTTGCCAGACTGTGTAACAAATGATGTGGTCTGTGTTGGCTGGGATGGAAAGGAATGAATGAATGAATGAATGCATGAATGAATGAGAAGTACAAAGTTAAAAAAAATGATAAACATCACAGCTGCAACACTTTTCTCCTGTATCTAAGATTATCAGGGCTACATTTTGTATGACAATCTGACAACTTAACCTGTTTTCTTTAAGTGTATGAGGGTATGCTGCAGCATGCTGGAGATTTTTTGCATTCACCTTCAAGTTTTTTATCACTCAGATGCATTTACACATGTGCACGCATGATCGGATCGCCTGGTTGTCTTAAAAGATGGTACTTCAAAACAAACACGGTTATCAGAATGTCACCATAAATGCAAAACTGTATTTAAAAACACCAACAGACTACAGAACATGACACTTGTCGCACTCCTTTTCATCTAGGAATAGCAACACCAAGTGTTAAACTGAACAGCTATGTTTTATTCAAGCGAGGCAACAAACAGCTGTTACCGGACACACTGCCACAAAACAGTAATCTCATTTTTTGTTTACTCATCTCATCCACTTTGCTCAGGGAAAGAACACAGGACTTAAGTTGCCACTGCCACATTTAAATGAGTTTTAAACAGAGTTTAGTGATGTCTTCCTTGATCTTATCCTGCTCAGAAAGACACAACCGCAACAAGTCTGCTCGTAATGACTGGTCGTGATTGCTTGCTTTTCTTTTCTGCCATGCAAAAATGAATGAAAGTCGTCTTGGGGTGAAAGGGAAGGGTGTAAAGATAGCACTGCCAATTTTCAGTACTGCCTAACTGACAGCCATCTGGTACTGTGTTGTTACCAACAGCTTGTTTAAAGCTTAAATAGGATGCAGAACAAGCTGATTTATTCCCAAAGATTTGTGAACGGAATGATAATGACATCTCATGCGGTATATACAAAGATGACTTTGTTACAGCTACAGTACGTAACACACTTTAGATAACTGGGAAAAATGACCTTTAGGTGAACCAACAAAGTCCATGCTCAATAATCCAGGTATACAATCTCACAATTTTCAGTCAGGTCATCTGCACAGTTTCTTTTTTACCTTTAAGTGAAGTTTTTAACCTTTAAGTGATGTTACCAAACCTGCTGTACAGAGCTGTGCACATTATGTCATCAACCTAACAGCAGCAATAAGAAATATTTACTGTAAGTGTCCCATTGCATGATTTTCACGAGTCTGCACAAATAGAAATGACAAGTAAGGGCAGTTCTTTATAGTACACGTTAAAAAAAAAAACATACCACAACACTTGTACTTACAGTATTTTTTTCTTGTATCAGTAACAGCTCAAATCAAACGACACATTCTCCCTCAGGATTACAGAAGATACTGCCTGCTGTCACTCAAAACACTTTGCTTGTACTGGAGGACAACTGATATGCAAGTACAATCTGAAGATCTTGTTGTATTTTGGAAAATAATTGTTTTAAACGTGATATCAGACCAACTAACTCAGCCATCAGGGATTAGACCTCAGAGGTCTTTTTGAGCGTCTTGGCCAGCCGATCCATATGGTGCCGTCCCAGTTTTCAGGTCAATACGTTCTGCACATGCAGAGGGTCCAACACACACACTCACACACACATGCACAGATTCTGCTGGAAGTTGTGTTATAAGGCGCATTCTGAGATGTCATATCTTTCAGTACGTGTTTGTAAATGTAACATTTATTTCTTTCAGTTCAAACTTTCTTGAGTGTGATTTTCTGCAACGTTTCTATTGTTTTTTTATCAGGGTTTTGTGATGCTTTAGTAGTGATTAAGTGTGCACTGTAAAACTGTTAATGACTTTTATCAAATTAAATCTATTTGCAGAAAAAAAAATCTTTGTGTCTTGACTTCAGATTTGTGTGTAATTTTGTCAAATGGAACACAGCAGGATAAACTAAAGGATACTTCTGTAAAAAATAAAAATTTTCTTTGTCATACTAGAAGGACTCGTACAAAAAGCATGAATATCAAAATGAGATTTATTTAAAAAAAAAACTTTTTATTTTCCATTTGTTTTGATTTCATTAGTTGATTTAGGCATCCCAAATGTTTTGTTATAGGTTTAAACAAAACTACTGGTTTAAAAAACATCACTGATAAATTATCAATTTATTGCCGAGAATTTGTGTTGTTTTTTCCAAGTGACGATGTGAGAGACATTTTGTCCAATACATCGAGTTATAAGAAATGTTATTGACTTTTGTGGTGTCACTTTTTTAAATACTTTATTTCATCAGTTGAATAAAACATTTTTAAAACCTTATAGTTTTGTAATCCATCCATCCATCCATTATCTTTACCCGCTTATTCCATTTTGGGTCACGGGGGTCGCTGGTGCCCATGTCCAGCAATCACTGTGCGAGGGGCGGGGTACACCCTGGACGGGTAGTTTTGTAATCCATAGGAGACAAATAGCATGGCACGGTGGCTCAGTTGGTAGAGCTGTTGCCTCTCAGCGAGAAGGTCGCCGGATCAAAGCCCGACCGGGGACTTTTCTGGGTGGAGTTTGTATGTTCTTTCCATGCATACGTGGGTTTTCTCCAGGTACTCCGGTTTCCTCCCACAGACCAAAAACATATGTTAGGCTGATTGTTAACTCTAACTTGTCCCCAAGGTGTGAGTGAGAGAGTGAATGTTTGTTTGTCTCATTTGTCTCTATGGAGACCTGTCCAGGGTGTCCCCCACATCTCACACAGTGACTGCTGGGTATGGCACCAGTGACCGCCGCAACCTGAAAAGGAAGAAGCGGGTAAAGATAATGGATGGATGGATGGATGAATGGATGGATGGATGGATGGATGTAACAAACAAATTAAGTGAACATTTTTTATAAGAAAAGCAAAATTATTTCTTCTTCTTTCGGCTGCTCCCTTCTTCAGGGGTCACCACAGAGAACTATGTTGCACAAAGGCTTTTTACGCCGGATGCTCTTCCTGACGCCACCACAGACCACTGAGCTACCACAGCCCTCTGTGTGGAGCAGAGAGCTGCTATCTAGGGCACCTGAGGGAGCAGATGGTGGGGGTTAAGGGCCTTGCTCAAGGGCCCAGAGTGGGGCAAATGAGGATGGAAGCAGGTGTGGGTGCTTCACCTGTCCCACCCACATTTTGATGTTGTCGGTACCGGGAGTCGAACCAGCGATCTTCCGATCACAGGCCCACCTTCTCTAACCTCTGCGCCACCACTCCCTTTTGATATTTGATATTTGAAAGTATCAAATCCCGACATGAAGCTGATATTTTTATCTGCAGCTCTTAGCCTGATTTTTTTTTCTGCTCCGCTCTGCAGCAAAAAGCTGCTGCGTGACTAACAGCTTCATAAAAGCCAGCATGTCACTCACAGCCTGAGCATCAACTGTGCACTAAACCGGTTCTAAATCTGCACCACAACTCCATCAGAGGCTTTAAATATAAAAAGCAACATGAACTCTGCAGCCCTGGAGTTTGTCACAAACATTTCATGAGATTCAAGCCAGAAAATGTTTTTATGGGATAGAGATACACATCAGACCAGTTCATCATTCTTACCCTCGAGCACTTTGACAAAAAAAAAAAAAAAGCTTTGACCCCTTACAAAGGTCATGCAAATATTAAAAATAATTATTCTCTTTAATAAAATTGGTCTGATTTTATGTTCAGTGGTCAAAATTGTTGACTAAGTTCAACAAAACATATTTAACTATTTTTTAAAACATATTAACACATCTTGCAAAAACGATGCTTTAGTAACTAAGTGTGTGTGTGTGGGGGGGGGGGGGTTTGTCATAAAGAGCTTAATGGTTTTCTATACCCTATGACAAAAAAAAACAGTTTCTGCAGAAATTAATAGATTATAAAACAGATATTTTTCTATTGAGTCTTTGGTATTTTTTTCCAGTTCAAATATTAAAATAGAAAATTATTACTGTACATATTTGAATATAATCTGTTTATTGTGGTTAATAGTTTCTAACAGATGGTCGATAGTTGGGTATATTAGTTTCAGGGATTTGGGGAAAGTTTCAAGTCTTACATGTGCAGAAATGCAGGAACATTTAATGCACCTATAAAAATGTCCAACTCAGAAATGCTAAATGTTATTACAATGTTGTTGTTGTTTTTTTCAAAACGAGATTTGAAACAGCATCCCAGATTTTTTTTATTTTGGACAAACAAAACATAAAAAACAACAAGGCAAAGGGGAAAAAAAGCCAGAACGTAATACAAAATGTAAACTGAAACACAATAAAATATCTACACATCAGAACTCAAATATTAATTTGTTATGACGTCCACTTGTTAAATCTCACCCCTTCCTGGTACAGAACTTACAGTTATAGCATTATTTTTCTTTATCTTTAAAATTAAGCAGCATGGACACTACACAAATACCACATTGTATTCAGTAATATGTGTGTAGTAGTGTGTAAAACAAATGCTATGCAAACAATATTAATAAAACAATTTCTAATTTATTTTGAAATTTCCAACTTATTTGTCATAATAAAAAGGCAAAACTTGAATCTCTGTGAACTCTTACGCCTCTCAACACTGAAATAAAAATTGAATATTAACCTAATTTTCGTAAGCTTAACTTTATTTTGATGAATATTTAATTGGTTTATTCCTACTGACAGGTCAGTGAGTATTTTTAATATAAAAAAAACACCTGTATTTTGTGAAACAGGATAAAACGGGATATAATAAATTAAAATATGGGGGGAGTGGGGTGCAGCAACAGCTGCAACTGCAGTCTCTTCTCTTGTGGCTCAGTTTCCCCAGGGATCCCAACAGTGCACGCTGTCTGACCACATCCTCCTCCTCCTCCTGCACATCCCTCCCTCCTCTCTGTCTCAGATTGTCAGCTGTCACACTCTCACAGCTCCACAACTCTGCTCCCTCCTCAAATGTGGGACACAGCAGGCCTGAAAGCAGAACAGTTGCACAACTCTAAAGGTCAGATGGTCGGCAGGGCTTAAAGAAATATCACAACTGAAGGGTCAGTTTTGTCTTCAAAGTTCATATTATACATTAAGATTATATGTAGACAAAAAACACTTTTATGAATGGTAAGGGAGTGCAAGGTTTAAGCATGAACTTTAAATCCTACTGTAGACAATCATCTTTCAATAATCCTTCAGCTGTGCAGCCACACATGCAGCTCTCAGTCCTCAGGAATGTGCTCACAGTTCACTTTTTCATAATCAGCAGCAGCTAAAAGACCAGAATCGTCACTCAGTGCAGCTTTTTCAAGGTTCCCACAAGAAACATGAGACCACTTCATATGTGCACTCTCACACAGACTAAAGCAAGAAAAACTGGAGGTCATGTGCACATAAATATCCCCCGTACGTTTGGAAATGAAAGGCTGCAACCAAAAGCCACAAAGCAGAGACAGATTTGTTTCTGAGAGATAAATTTAAGAGGTAAATCTAGGACAAATTATTTAGGATTCAACATCTGGCTTGTTAGTGTTGGGCTTTTTGTGTAAGTCTCACACTTTATTAGTTTGCTAATGGTTTAAATGTGGAACTTTGCACAAACATAAAATGAT